AAGGAAGGAATAACAGTGTGTTTCAACCTCGTGGGTGTGTTGGGCAGACAGATTCAGCCTTGGTTTTGAAATACACATATACTGTGGTAATTAGAACAATACAATAGCAAATAAAAACAGGAAGAAGAAAAGTACCTAACCCACAAAAGGATTTGGTTGATGTGCAGCAAATGAGATGTGGGACCACAGACTACGTGGTGAAGTTAAGAGAAATATTGAGCAGCTGCTCTGCTACACAGTTCTACAAAATGAAATGACATCCTGCAGGAAAAACAGCACAGGCTCCTTTACTACCCAGGAGGGCAGAGCTAAGGTTACAGGGACTGTAAGAGTGTTGTCATTTCCTTACTCCCAGGAGCTGCATTTTCCAACTTGATGGCTTTCCTAATGTAATTGCTTTTTATGCCGTGATTTCTTTAGAGCCTGATTCTTGCTGGAGTAAATCAGGAGGAACCCCAACAAAGCCAAGCAAGTGATCTCAGTGCCAGAATTTTAGGGGCCACAGTGGAATCAGGCATGCTCAGTCCACAACCTTCTTACCCAAATCCTGCAACAAATGCCCCATGCTGGAATGGCAAGGAGGTATCAGATGAAAACACAAACCAATGACAAACAGTGCATTTTTCAGTAGCCACATCATATTATGTCATTGATGTCAGGTTGAGTTATATTGGTCTGCTTTTCATTATGTTGTGTTATGCCTTTTGACATAATGCAACACACTGTAAGTAACATAAAGTGACCTCCAAGTATAAAAGAGTACACAGTTTTTGTCAGATTAGATAGTGGCTATGAATTCTCAGAGAGGGAGGGGTAACTCAGAGCAGGGGGTTTGGAGTCAGTGTCCTGAACAACAAATGCACAGAACTTAATTAACAGCCCAGGCTGTTTCCAAAATGGTCTGTGTGCCTCTGCTCAACAGAGAGAGGAGATTCACAGTGGGATTTGCACTGTTGAATTTATTTAAAATTCTGCAGAGGTCTCTGTTAGAGCTCTCTCTTTTCTGTACCTGTACTGCAGGAGCTCCATACACAGTGAACATAAGACTCCCTTGCCTGAGATTTGCCTTGTTATCAGGCTCCAAAATACAGTCCTGAGAGCAAGCTTAGCCAGTGGCCTTTCTGAGCAGCACTGTGTAACCTGTCCTCTGAATGGAATCAGCTGCTGAGAAAACAACTGTAGGGAGAAAAGGGAATCATGGTGGCTCTGAAAAGAAGGGGAGCTCCTCATTAATTCAAGGTGACTAAGGAAAAGTGGGTGATTCAAGGGAGGTTGTTAATTTTCTCTGGAGGGCTTGAAATCCACCTTAGCTTGGTAGTTCTGTCTGGTGGCTTTGCTGGAATTAGCTGATGATCTTCTCCCTTTAGTCCTTGGTCTACACTCCTGACCCACAGGTTGCACAACTGCCAGGACTTGCAGGAAGTGGAGACCTTTGATATAAAGGCTGGAATACAGCTCTCCTAAAGGGAATGGTTGCTACCTGTTGTCAGGGTATGGAAGATTTCAGTTCCCACACATGATTAACTCTCACATGTCTTCTTCTGAAGGCACCCACTCAAAGGCAGGATGGAAAACTATGTGAGGGCAGGAGAAGTGTAAAGCTGTGGTGTGAAGTTGGTCTCAAAACTCAGTCTGCAATAGCCCCAACACTTACAGAGGTACTTTATTGTACATTTCCTATGTAACGTGTTACATTCCCTGTGTAGCATATTCAGCATCAGTGCTTTCTTGTGGCCCCACTGAACTAGGAGAAGAGGCCACTTTCCATTTGGCACCCATCTGGCATCCCATCTCACCACAAGAATTGTCATCATGTCCCATCATCTGCCTTTTCAGATAGCGAGTGTTGAGGGATCTGAAACATTTTCAAGATCAGTCTCAAAGATGGAAGTTGCAAAGGCACCTGAACGCATTTGGTGTGGGTTTCCTGAGCAGTGGAATCTCACTTAAAATGGTGTTTTAAGATTAAAATTTAACGTTGCTAACAGGAATAGAGTGTAATATTTTGTGTGAAAAGGGTGCCCAGGTGAGCAGTTAGAACAGCACAGGACATCAGAATCCAGTGTGTCACATGTGTTTTCCTTATCACTTCTCCATTTAGAGATGTAGCAGAAATTCATATCTGCTTAATTTCCAGGCATGCAACATTCCTTTAAGATGTGTGTGGGATGCTGTCCTTGTTCATTAGGCCATTAATATTAGGGGATGAGCAGTTCCTTTTCCTGAACACTGTGCAATAATCCAGCTCTGCTCTCCATCCTGCCCAGAGACCTGTGCAGTCAGACCCCTGTGCCACCAACACCCACAGTGCTCTGCAGGACTCCACAGAGCTACCTTCCAGTATCATTTTGCAGCATCAGAGAGTCCAGAATTAAACATGAAACATTCCTGTTAGGTTCATGAAGAGAGCTGTTCCCCTGGACCTGAGCAACTCCCAAAGCAAGCTGCTCCCCTTGGTAGGACACCAGACTGTGCTTGTGGCCAGGCATGCACAGAGACTCAGAGTCTCACTGAGATTTGCAGCCAGGCTGGATCTCAGGAGACTTCCTATTATTGTTTTCTTTCCTAGTAAATCGTTATGTTGTCTCCTTCACAGCACACAGAGTTCAAATAAACCCATCCCTGTGACAATCTGATTCTCTGAAGGAGTGTCCTGTTCTGTTGAGTCACGTGAGAGGAAAATACAAAGAAGTAGAAAGACAGATCAAAAAGGGGTAGCAGAAAGAGCCCTGGAGGCAGACTTAAGTTTGGTATTTAATATTTCAGGTAAAATATTCACTTAGCATCAATTATCTTGTTGGGTTCCTTTTTTTTTTTTTTTTTTTTTTTTCCCAAATGAAATTGCCTTCTGAATCAGCCAGCTCTCTAATTACCAGATTGAATGATTGAAATTTTTAGGGCAATTAAATTCAAGCCTTTCTTTTTTCAGTCCTTATGTTATTCCCCCCTTCTCTCCCTCCCTCCTCCAGTCTGGAGCCTTTCTGTAATTTGGAGGCAGTTGCAGAAGCAAGCAGACCTTTAAAGCCAAGATGCATGTCTCCCTTAATTCCTCGGTGGATTTGTTTTATAGACTAGGCAGGGAGGGTTCTGGTCTCTCAGGACATGTGCATTACAAACACACAGCTTTGTGTGGGTTTTATCCTAACATGCCATTGGAAGGATTCATTTAACACAGAAATTCTGTGAAAAGACAAAGATCAATGTGGAAAATGCAAGTGCTATTGGAAAATGCCTGTAGATCAAACTAGAAAACTAATGAGCAGATTGATGGTAATAATGATGATTGATGATCTACTGGATAAGAGAAAACAAATCTCCCAATGAAACTGTACAAAGGTCTGTTCACAGAGCTGTTAGGACAAACTTACAAAAGATAAGTATTCTGCCAAGTAGAGGACACAGAATTCCCAGGATGAAATCCTGGGCCCACCGGACTGGGTGACAAAGTTGCTGCTCATCTGTGTGTCTCGTTGGGATCAGAGCACTGATCCTGCAGAACCTGTAACCATATTCTCGTACCTAAGTACGTGAGCATCTTCCATGGGCTCCTGTGGGACTATCCCGTCCTTGAAGTTAAGGGGATGCTTAACAGCTTTGCTGAGTCAGGATCTGGCCCAGGGAACATGAGAAATCTTTATCACTCTGAGTTTTTCAGCTTTCCCAACCTAATCCAGTGTACAGACCTGGGGCTGCTCCCCAGCAGGACCCAGGCGTTTATTTTCCTGCTCTGTTACCCTGAGTATTGGTGTAATGCCTCTGAAGTCAGAGCAATGAACACTAGGCTAACTTCCAGCAAGTATCCACAGCCATTTCACTAAAGCCAGATGAATTGTAGTCTGCTCATTTATTACTTAATTATCCCTGTATGTGTTTGAGGTGCTTCACAACAGTTAAAGCAGTCCTTGCCCTGAAGAGGATGCAGTCACATCGAAGATTAGAGATGACAGCCCTGCAAGGGGCTGGACCTGCAGAAAGAGCAAGGTCCTTGTTCAACCAGAAACATAAATGCATGTCTGCCTCAAAGTTCAGTGGATTGGTTAAGCACTGATGTGGCTCCAGCTTGGACTGATTGATGTAGAGAAGTATTTTGGATGCAGGTTCCTGAAAAACCTCCTGTTTCTGCTGTTTTCAATGCTCTGGTGTTCTTGCATAGATACTCTCACAGGCACAGATTAGACCTTTGGGAAATATGATTTCATGTCTGTGGAATTATGACATTTCATTCTGGTTAATGTTTTGGCCCATTGTGATAATGCCAGTGGGATGGAATGTTATCCATCAGCGTCCATGAGCATTCCCTGGGACACACAGCCCTTGTGGTTCTTATGCTGCCTTCTGTTTCCTCCTGCTCTCAAGGCCGCATTCATTACTACACCTCTCTTTCTGCATGCTCTGAAGTCCATGACTCTCCACCAGTTTGCAGTGTCTTGGGACGTGGCCCCTGGCCTTCAGGCATGTTTGACAGATCCAGGGAAAAGAGACCTGATCCCAGTCACTTTATTGCCCTCTGCAGTGCTTTTCCAGCCTTCCTTCTGGGTGCAGATGCACCTCTGCAGAACCTCAGTCACCTTTCTGGAGCTCTGAATGCCTGCACCAGACTCTGGAGCTGCCAAAGCAGCCTGGATTTACTGCTGGTTTCCTCTGCATTTTCTCAAGGACTGTGTTTCTCTCTTTGCTTTTTCAGGTTGCCACGTCCACTTAAAATCCTCCGGTGCGTGCCCCGTGTTCATTATTTAGCAGCACATGGGAAAGCCCCCTCAGCTCCAGCTTGCTGTGAGTGCTGTACAATTGTAGCCCAACTGCCTGCTCCACTTATCTGCTGCATTATTTCTGTGAAAGCAAAAGCTGTGCATGGAACAGATGCTTGGAATGGTATTGGGATCCAATTACTGCACTTTTCCAACCTTACATCTATTGTCTAAACTTGGAGCAGGCATATTTTTGTTCCTTGGTGACACTATATAAAGAGACAATTGGCATTGTGTTTGCTGGCTGACTGGTTGGCAGAGAAGGGGTGGCAGGAGCAGCAGCACCATGGTAGGTTTTATTCTTTCCACGTCTGTTTTTTTGCCTGTATTTCTTTCTGACTCTAAATTCAATCAGAGCAGGAATGATCACACTGGACTCCATGAAACCTCATCTTAGTATCACATCCAGAATGAAGATACACCCCACAGAGTGAGCTGTGAGCTTCCAAGGACTTCTTTAATAATTTGTTTAACTAATAACTGAGGCAGAGAATGCAGATGCACTGGCTGAGGGGAAGAGCTCGTGGGTGTCTGTCCCAGCCTGACACACCAGGGCAGCAGTGCCTGGCACAGCTGCTTTGTCACTGCTAAGGTCTGCTGTGGTGGGATGGGGAGTGAGGAGAGGGATAGCTCTGGAATTGTCACTGCATTGCTCTTGGGATTGCAGGGAGAAGCAGGAAGTCCTGCAGAAATTTCTGTGTCTTGCCTTTGCCCCTCTCACTGTTGGCTTTTAGTTCTGGGACTCTAACACCTCTGCACCAAATGTGCATTGATGTGATTTCAAGGAGCCAAGAACTCCTGCCTAAGGAACAGGGGGCAGATGGGGCAGATCTTTTTCTTCTCCAGATTTGGAGGAATGACTAAAACAATATTAAAAAACCCAAACAAAAAGAAAAAGCTGGTGATTTTCTCTTCCCTTATTTTGCCCCTTTTTGCAGGTGCTTTTCAGGTTGTCTTAAAGTAATGCTGCCCAGTGGCTCCCTGGGGCTGTGGGATATTTGACTGCCCACTGTCCATTGACTGAGGACACCAGAGAGGGAGTTGTACCTGAAAAGCCCTCTCAAAGCTCAGTTCAAACCTGCTCCCATTTAAGCAGGTGATGAATGTGATCCACGTGCTGTTCTGAGCAGGATAAAACCCCATTCAAAGTCATTTCTAAAATCCACGCACCAAATCGGGTTCCAGTTTCAGCCAGTGCAAGCCCAGGGGCAGTGGATTCACACTAATCCTGTTCTTCACCACTGCTTCAGAAGTGAGCAGTGCCTTGTGCTGATTGTGCCTCTTCAGCCGTGGATTTACAGGTTTCCCTTTAATCAGCCTCACTAAAGCCTAAGCCAGCCCTTTCGTGGGGTGGGGGGGCCAGTGCTGGGTCTCAGGTTTTCTTTTTCCCCTCTTTTTTTTTTTTCTGCAAAATTTTGTTTATCAGTTTTTTTCCTTCCTATTTAGTTCAATGACACACCAGCACTCATTGATGTTTGAAGATATTTCAGGACACTCTGTGATGAAATGCTTAACTTAAGAGATGTGAAAATATAGTGAGAGACTTGTCTGTCTCCTGGCTCCCAGTTCAAGTGACGATTCTCTGCGGTGGTTCTTTTCATTGTGCCTTTTGTTTTGGGAAAATCTCTTCTGAGGTACCTTACTATACAGGGACACATGAAACAGATTTAAAATGGAAAGAAAAAAATAGCCTTAATGAAAGAAAGCTGAAGAATATCTTTACATAAGGAAGTGATCATTTTTTATTAATCAGAGGGAAATGTATATGTAATTATGCTAGATGAACTCTGTGGGGAGGTTTTTTTCTCTCTTTATGATGTCTTAAGGGATTTATAAATATTACAGAGGTTTTATAGCATCATAATATTTCAGATGTGCAGTAAAGCTACTTTCAAAGGATTAGTGCAGACAAAGCAGCATAGTAAAAAATAATTACAAGTCAGCCAGTGCTACTAGGCTCTGACATCCAGGGCTGATGAGAGTGAGAGAGGCAGGGTTCAGGGAGATAATTTTTCTAACAAGAGCAGACCACACAAGTGCTGTGGAATGGAGTTCTGAGAACTGTCTCTGGCTCTCGGTTTATTCCAGGGAATTTCAGACCGGTTGGGTCTGGGATGTCTCCCTGCATGCTCTGTGCTGACGGGGAGAGGCAGAAGGAAGCAGAGGGGAGGCCTTTTCCTTATTCCCCCAACATTGCTGTGTTTATTCAGTTCGAGTGACACTTTGTAGGGGATTCTGCACGCCCCAAAATAGACGGCATTCTGATCCAATATGTTCTGATCTGCTGTCTGGAATGTACCACCTGCACCGGGACAGGCACCAGCAAAGCTGAGTGACTTCAGCAGCTGGAGGGGAGCCAGTCGTGTGACCGCCGTGTTTGTGCATGTTCCTTGCACATGTGTGTTCATGTGTGTTCCTTGCACATGTGTGTTCATGTGTGTGCCTGCACATGTGTGTTCATGTGTGTGTCTGTGAGGGTGTACAGAGGGACTGCCCATCTGCTCACGTGGAGGAGGAGGATGAGGAGGATGTGAATGCCAGAAAGGAGAAAGTGCTGGGTGGGAAAAGCAGCTGCCGAATTTTTGGGTCACGTTGGTCGAGGAGTCTGCAGTTGGAGAGGTTCTCTGAGAGAGAAAGTTTGAGGAGATAAAGCCTTCCCTCTGTATGTCTGCAGGAGAAAAAGGAGGCTGGGATTGGGAAGGGGGTTTATGTGGGGCAGAGGAGAGTGTTTCGTGTATGGGAGAGTGAGGCAGGGAGGATGCAGCCCAACAGATTTTTGTATCTAGCAGGGATCAAAGGGGTGTGTGTGTCTTTGTGGGTGTGTGGGAGGCTGGGACTACACACAAAATGGAGTGAGGGTGAGAAGGGAGGATCTGTTTGTGGCTGTGGAGTAGGTAATAAAAAGATCTTCTGTTTCTCAGTTCTGATAACGTGGGGTTTATTTGAATGATCTGAGGCTGTTGCCTGTTTGAAATGCAAATTGTGCCCTTAGAGCAGTTTATGTTTCTTACTCCTCTAGACTGTTCCCTCAAAGGCTTGTGTTTGGATTGGCCTTGTGCTGCTCACCTGCCATGGAAAGGACCTAAACCACTCTAAAAAAGGGTGGCTTGTCCACAGCTGGGATCTTTGATGCAGATGCAGTGCAAATTATCTCAGCAGAGAAAACTTGTGAGACAATAATCAACAAAAATCCTGTCCAGTGCTGCAGAAATGCCTTGTCCAGGCTCGAAACATAACTTCTGATTCAGAAGCTGTGTTCCATGATAACAAAAATTCAGAGACAGGAAATGTCAGCACTGAGATCCCAGAGTGGATGAAAAACAAGGGGAGAGTGTGATGAAGGAAAAAGTAATAGGTAAGTGAGAGTTACCATCATACAGTGGATCACAGCAGGGGACAGAATCTGAGCAAAATGATGGATGATTCTGTCTTTTCTGTAGTCACAGACGTAGCTGTAGAGGAAGGAAGTACAAAATGTGCAAGCCTGGTAGTATTTTATGTCTGCTTTGCCTTGGACTGAATAAACACATAAGGGTACAAAACAACAGAATTGGGTTCTTAATAGTGTACACTCCTGTTTCCCTCTGCAGGACCTGCTCATGTATTGGCATCTTCTCTAGTAGAAAAATTTTAAAAAGGCAAAATAAGTTGCTCAGTGGGAAAGTGTTTCTGTTTGTGTTTCATTTTTGGCTGTCACATTGTCACCTCTAGTTATTTAGAGTGTTCTCTGCGTGTTTTAAGGCAGGGTGGACCATACAGGGAACTGATGTCCCCAAACCAAACCAAAAATGTGGCTCCTGGCAGAGTGCTGCCCCTCTCTCCTGACTGCCTGTGGAGACACTCCTGCTCTGCAGAAAATGCTGAGTAGAGATTGGTTGCTTTATAATTACTGAAGGGCAGAAGTGTGCACCTGAGCAGGCAGTCAGGGAGCTGTGCCTGTGTTTAGCTTGCAGGAGCTTGGCTGGTTTACCATACTCTCTGTCTGCAAAATTCACTGAAGGTCTGAGATGATGAAGTTCTGTAATAATCCAGTGTCACTTCCTCTGTATCTCTGGTGTCAGGAACCTGCCCTAGCACGAGCCTTTTATGAATTTATCAGGGCAGACAACACCTTATATTCTGAAGTAAGAACCAGGTATTTTTATCTCCTTCCTCCTTTACATGTAGAGATATGAACTGATTCAATGCCCCTTTTCCTTTTAGGTCACCCTGAAATCAGATATTTCTTTACCCTGATTCATTTGAACACACACACAAAAATGAATCCCTGTTCTTCCATCCAGCAAGGCAAAGGCCATCCACACTCACTGTCTCTGCCTACCTCTGTCCCTGCATACCTCTGTCCTCTCAGGCTCCCTGACACTGCCAGAGAGGAGGAACATAAAGAACCTCAGTGAAGGAAACTCAGCTCAAAGCAAATGCCCCATATAACAGAGTTTTTCTGGGACCAGATTTTGGTGTATGGCTCCACTTGTTCATTGAAACCTTCTAAAACAAACCAAAACCAACCACCCAAAACAACCAGAAAAAGACCCTTTAAAATCCAGGCTAATTGAGAGAGTGCTAATATCAGTAAGACAAATGAGTGATACCCAACAAGCCTGCGGTTTCTCTTCTAAAGTGAAGTGTTGTTTTCTTCACAATGGGATGATTAATACACTCAGGCAGGAATATTAATAGGTTTGTTCAGTTGTTGCAACATTCTTCCCACTGCTGTGCTGTTGAGGCCTCGGAATCTGAGCCCAGGGGACCCTCAGCTCTTCAGTTGCTCATCTGGCACGTTTTGTGTGTCAGTCTCCCAGCACATGCTGCAGTGAGAGCTGCTCCATCTTGGCAAAGTGCAGCTCAGCACACTCTGTGTGTCACGAGTGGGGAAATCAAGGCAGGCAGAAGTGATGTGTCAGTCACCCACTTGTTCCTCTGCAGGTCACCTACTGAATCCTTGGCAGTTTAGAAACCATATGTCTGCTCAGTTCTGTGATGTTCTTTTTAATATGCCACTCCTTCAGAGAGATACTCCGGAGTCAGAATCCTGATTGTGTTCATTAAAAAATTCTGGAGAGCTTGGAATTGTCAGACAGCAGCACAGACCTATTTCTGTTCTCTTAGAGCTGCCTTTTAATTCAAGTTACCCACCAGAAAGACAGTGACAATGTACCCTGTTCTATTCCTGCTCCACCCACTTATCTCTCAGCCTTCCTTCTTGCAGCACCTGCCTACCCATCACTTGTGCAAAAACCAGGGTGTAGTTTCTTTCTGTGATTATGAATTTCCTGGCTTTTCAGGGCAGATAAACTACAATACTGGGACCTGCTAAGCCCAGATGCTCTCTATATTTTGTGCTAAAAGGCTTAGTTTGACACTGGTGGTGAAAGGCCATTCCCACCCAGCAGCTCTTCAGAGGCCCCTGTGAGATATATTGGTGGTCTCAGCCCCGTTCCACAACTGAGCAGGTCATAAATGGGATCCACACCCAGAGCTTCAGAAAAACTAGAGATGGATGGAGCAACATGGGCACTGATCTCCTGTATCATCCCTGGAGGTGATAAACCAGAGAGTACCACTGAACAAATATGCTGGGATGAATTTCTGCTAGGCTGGAACTAGATGATCTCTCTCAACCCAAGCCATACTGTGATCTTATGATACTTCAGTAACTGTTCCCTGTATAACCAGTTTTCAACCTTCTTTACCTTGAAAAGGCCTTCACCAAAGTGAAGAAACTTTCAGGTGGATTTTGACTTGCCGATCTGTTTCTGGTATAGATATTGAGGCACAGCTTTTGGGTTTCTCTGATCCTTCCTTACATCTACAATCCTTGCTCAAAGCCTCACAGCACAGAGAGCCCATTGAACTGAGGGCTAATGGAGGAATTGCCAGCGTTTGGCGTTTCAAGGAGCTGGACCCACTGCCCTGCGCTGTGGTGACAGATTAAAGAGACACAGATGGTGTGCTGTTGTGGGGAATATTTATCATGCTGCACATGGATGCTGTGTTTGGCCACAGCAGAGCAGCCCAGGAGAAGGGGAAAGCGTGTTTTGTCTCCATCAAGACCAGCAGGACAAGAGAAGAACCAGCTCAGCCACCCCCTCCGAGAGTCCTCATGCCCCGCGGTCGCTCCCCCCGACAGGCTGCGATGCGTTCCACTGGGAACATCTGCTTCCCCTTTACCTCAGGGAACAAAGACATGGAAATACGGAGGATTGTTCCTAATATTTCCATTCGATCTGGAAGTGTTGAAAACCTCCACCAGGCACCTCACGTTATGTGGGAGATTGCCCATGACTGCTCAAAAATAACACTTATTTCATGTGGAGGAGGAGGAGGGAATCTGTTTATTCCAAAATCAATATTTCTACATTCATTAAACATTCCACTTATTAACTTCTTTTTTCCATGCCTGTGGTGGCATTCTATCCTTGTTTTTATCCCTCTTGCAAATATATTTTTCATTTGATTTCCATTCCTATTTCCAGATTTTAGTGCTCTGCATTAGCTAATTGGAGCTTGACAGGTCTGGAGTGTGGGTATGTGGAAGAGTGCCTACCACTGCCCTAATTTCCCCCCTTCCATATCCTGGGATCTAAACCAGGGTGGCTGAGTGCAGAAATCTGCCTGGCAAATTAAATTGATCAGACAATGTATGCTTCAAACAGAGCCAAGTGGGAATATTTCCTTGAGCTGCTCTGCTCCTCGGGATATTTGAAATCAGTATTGAATCTGAACTTTCACAGGCTTTTTTATTTTGATGAAAGGAGACAGTAGAAGTTGCCTTCTGTTTCATGCAGAATAGCCCAAACTAAGTAAGACTAATTTTCTGTGACACAGGAACCAGGTGGGACTATGATAATGAAGTTTAAAAGTAAAAATGATAAAGAAAAAAGTAATCTGTCTGGAAGGGAACTCCAAAGGCAATGCAGCTCATTATCCTGCCCCAAGTAAGGATAATGCTGTGGTTAAAACATTTCTGTAATCCATAGAAATCACAGATTTTATTCTTTACTGCAGAACAAGAACTGTATTGTCTTAGTCAAGCTGATTGGGCCCTTATTCAAAGATATTTAATGAAGTCTAGTTCTGACTGATTTTTAGGGAGCATTAGATTCTTAGATATCATTGTAGCTCTTTCCCCAATCTTGCTCTGTCTCAGCCTCCAGACTATGGAATGGTGATAAAAGCAGTCCTGCCCTTTTACTTAAGATGACTATCTTGAATATTAAAATAACATGGTCTACTAAGATAATGTGGTATAGAGTCATAGGTTGGTAAAAGAATATAGGTTTCAAGTGTAGAAGGTGTTCCTGCACAGGAAGGATTAATCTGTTCAGTCACTGTTGGTCCAGACAGAGCAGATTTCGAAACATTTCGGTGTGAGAAGGAAATTATATCATTTCCCTTTATAGTTCCTGAACTGAGTCTCCATGCAGGGCCCTATTTGGAATCCTGCTGCTGGCCCCAGCCTGGGAGCTGGGAAGAAGCAGTACCTGTAGGCACTTACCTGAATTGCTGGAATTCCTTGAGGTTGGGAGCAGGTTGGGAATTCTACCTTATATCTCCAAGTGGCACCACAACATTTCATTACTGCTCCTGAAGCAGGGAGTGATAAAAATCCTCAGTGAGAGCAATTTTTATTATATACACACACACACACATATATTCAATCCTATTTATGTATATATATATAGGATTGAATGAAAAACCTTGTTCTAACAAAGCACAATCCTCTTGTATTACTTGGCTGTATATATTTTACTTTCTGTTGAAGATGGAATTTGTTTTCATGGGTGCTTAACAAGAATATATATTTGATCTTCTTCTTTGTATTACAGGCTCCCAAAAAGGCAAAGAAGAAGATAGAAGGTGGTTCCAATGTGTTCTCTATGTTTGAACAAACCCAGATCCAGGAGTTCAAAGAGGTGGGTCACTGTGCTGCTGTTCTCCATAGTCTCCTGTTATTGCTAATGAATAACATAGGTTTTGTTTGTAATCCTTATTCAATTCTCCATCTGCTTTAATAGAACACACAGTTGTTTCTGAATCATCCCTGTGGTTTTGGCTGGTGTATCATTTTCCTTGTGTGTTTGTTTGTTCTTTCTTTCCTTCTTTCTTTCATTCTTTCTTTCTTTCCTTCTTCTGTCCCTCACTCTCCCGTTTCAAGCTCCAGACTTATCTGAAAATAAGCCCCTGCTCCAAAATAAAGGAAAATTACCATCTCATCCACTTTAGACCTGATTCAGGAAAACACTTGATCACAGTTAAAGTGGCATTTTAAATAAGAATAGTCTTACATGCTCAAGTATTACCCTGAATAGAGATGCTTGATTGAACCAGGGCTTTAATCCATGGTCTGTTCCACAACAGCAACAGAAAATGTTCTTCTGTGCCCTTCTAAGAGTGCCCACAAACTAGAAATGAAAACACCAAGAAGCCCTCAGCTGACTTTCTCCACAAATGCCAATAAAACAAAACAACATGTTGAGATTAACAAAGCACTTTTTGGCTCCCAAGGACTCTGATATTCCATGCACTGCAGATTCTTTGAGCACAGGTAAGAAGGTAAATCTGATGGGCTGGCATAAAAGCTGGAGCACATTAAAGACAGAAAATCTGCTTGGTAAGTTTATGTTCTTTTTCTGAGTGGACATTCTAGATTGTCAGTGAGACCTTCACTTTCTGGATTGGATTGTCATTTTAAATTATTGGCTTTCCCCCCATTTTTTCTAACTCACACCTCCATAGCCCATTTCTGATGTGATAAATGTCTACTGTTTCATTTTGTGCACATGTCCTTCAACTTTACCTTCCATGAGGATTCCCACCAGGAAAACTCAGCGGTGGATGAGACTAAAACCCATACAAAGGACTGGGAATATAAACCCAGCTAAATGGATTGGAACCACTAATCATTTCTCCCCAGTTAATGGGAACATGTTCAACACTCTTCTCCCACCTCTTCTCCACATCCTATGAACCTCCATTTTATTTCCAGCAAGGATTACTGTTTGAAGAAGGAGCAGCAAACAGAATGCCCTGTTTGATCTCCTCTAAATCAGATAATCCTGGGAACATTTCTAGGAGGATGGTGGCAGACTAATGGCATGAAACCCAAAACCATGTTGTGTCTAAAAACTGCATATTTGGGACAAGCATTTTGGAAAAGCTGGTTTTGATCAGAACATTTTTATCTAGAGATTTCAAATCAGAACATTTTTATCTAGAGATTTCAACCAGCTCACCAGCAAATGTTTCAGCACTGCTGTTGTGCTGTTTAAAGTTCACCCATTACAGTATCTGATGCTCTTCCTGTCTCGTGTGAGCTTGCTGGGTTTTGCTTTGCTCTTCATATTTTCTCCTGTTTTGCTTCCAAATTGTGGGAATCACCATTCCAAGCAAACCTTCCCCAGGGAAAGGAAAGCATCTCTAAAGTGTTGGGCTCAATTTTTTACGAGGGGATGGTTTGGTAGGTAAAGGAAGGATTATGAACATGGATGTGGCAAACTGGAATGTGAGCAGTGGGGCTTTATAAGAAACTGGAGGTGAAGCTACACAAAGATCTATGGATCATACATATACATATACAAGCAGGGAAGGAAATGCACCCAGTAGAGCAGCAGATTTTAAAACTCTGCAAGTTACTGTGGCTGTGTTCTCCTGAGAACACAGTCCTTCATCGTAATACTGAAGTAGGAATAATTCCTGGTCACTGTAAAGATACACTCTCGTATTGATGTGCCTGTCAGACAGATAACCAGCTTCAGAGACATGCCTGGTATGACCAGGGGAATTTCAGGTCATTAAAATCTTTCCAAATCAATGAAACATTAAAAGTGTGATGGCAGCAAATAGAGAGACACACAAACAGGTAAACAGATAGATGGACAGTTAACTGGCTCGGTAAGTAATGGTCAGAGAACATCAAGTCTGTGTTGGCTGAAAATAAAAATAAATTAACTGTTTTTTTCTATTTTGCCTGACAAGAGTATTTAAGGTCAGCACATCAGGGTCAGTCAGAGTACTGTCTCAAGGATACAGTTTATTGGAAAGGGGAAAAACCTTTAAATATATTATCCTATGGAATAGGATTTCTCTGTACTTCTGACAATTCAGCTACCTCTGTATGATGGGCCATTTTAAGTCCCAGAAGGAATTGATTCAGGTTGATAGCAGAGAGATATCTACAGAAATCAAATGTTTTACAGAACATAACTGCACAGAGAACAGGGTATGGGAAAGGTACAAGCACACAGAGCAAGCACTGCCTAAATCCTCCCTGACTAAAGTCTCCCTAATTCCAGCCTTTATGGGTTAAGGCCTGAATGGCTGGAGCTGCCAGCACTGGCTCCAGCCCAGCTGCTCGCTGCACTGAGCAGTAATTTAGCAAGAAGAAGTTTGGGTGGGTTTAATTAAGCCCCTTGCCAAGACACAGTAATGTGTTGAAAGTGATGGAAGTGCAATGAGGTGGTATGATGTGGAGGAATCTAAGGAAGTTAAATATTCCTTTTTACAGGATGAGTATCATACCCCCCCTGGCCTGGTGTGTGTGATTGCAGCACTGCCCTGTGCAGTGGCAGTGGCAGTACCAGTTCCTTTCTCTTCCCACAGGCTTTTACCATCATGGATCAGAACAGGGACGGCTTCATTGACAAAGCAGACTTGAGAGACACGTTTGCTGCTCTAGGTAAACTGTCATAATTGAAACTAATCATTCAATACTTGAAAAAAATGCAGTGTCAAACACCTAAGAAAGGTCTGTACTAGAATTACAGGGGGATAAGTGATGAGATTCACAGGAGGCAAAAGGAAACCTGTTTGACCTTCCTCCTTCTGGTAGTTGCTGTCTCACTGCAGAGCTCCAGCTGGAAGGTCTCCTGAGCAGTCTCCTTGGGAAGAGGTCTGATCCCTCCCCTGCAACTATTTCAGAGCAAGCCCACCCAGGCAGGGGTCCATGCCAGGCATTTCTGATTTGCCTCTGAATCCAGGCTTCCCAGGCTGCACCTTTTTCATCTGGGAGCCATGGAATATCCACTGATTAGCTCTGCTGCCATGGACTGGCTGCCCCTCTGCCCACACGAAAACAAGAGGACTTCATGTGAGGTTCTGGGCTTCATGTGGGGTGAAATGTGCATGTCATGAGATTAGGTATTGTCCATTCCATGCCTATCACAGCCCTGATAATATCAAGCAGATTAGAGCAAATCTTCCCAAGGAAAGGAAAAATTAAAATGCTCGTGATCCCAAACCTGGAGTTGTATCCTCGTTGCAACATCTGAGGGCTTGAACAGTGATGTAGGCATTTGGGATTTTGCCATCTGGATCTTATTAAAACGAGTTTGATAAGAATCTTTAGTGCTCCCCGGGGTGGAATCAGATGCCAGCAGAGTCAGTGCAAGGAGCAGAAGCTCCTGAACTCTTTATTGTGACAATGAGGTTTGCAAACTTTGGCCTGTAGCTACTGTTACCCTGAAATATTTATTTCTTAAGGCCAAGTTCTGGTGCCTTTCCTGTTCAGTGAAGCCCTTCAACAACTATAAAGTACAGTCACAGCAAATTACCTCTCAATTTGAGAAGGGTTGCCAGGGTCTAAATTCTCATCAGTGGACTGCACAAGGATGGGGAGGGGATAGGACTACTCAGCTCATCCATCTGCCCTCTACTCAGTGAGGTGTCTCAATACACAGGAGGGCAAGGACTGAGACCTTGGATTCACTTCATCACTTTGATCTCTGCTGTATTAACATCAGTGGGGCCCATATTTCACCTGAGGTAAAAAAAAAAACAAAAACAAAACAAAAGCAAACAGGAGTTTATTTGGAAGTGCCCCTTGCCTCGTCCACTGCTGGCCATGTCTGTGTTATTTATCCTCCTTACTCTTTCAGTCACCCTTTGATCTCAGAGCCAGCTCTGCCGATTCCTTTTCCACTGGGGTATTTGGGAGTCGTGTTCTACCATGTTATTAGCAAAGTTGCACAGAGCCCTGAGCTCCCCAGTGGGAGGAGATGAATGGGAATCGTTTTTTGAAACACAATTTGTGATTTATTATGAAAAATGATCTCTGCTGCAGGTCGTCTGAATGTCAAGAATGAAGAGCTTGAAGACATGGTGAAGGAGGCGCCAGGTCCTATTAACTTCACTGTCTTCCTTACTATGTTTGGGGAAAAGCTGAAAGGTAAGTACCTCTGGGGGATTGGAGAGGTATCTGTCGAAGCTGCTCGGCACTGAAATATCTCAGCACCTTGCAAATGAGAATCATGTACCCACAGAACAGCGCTCAAAGGCAAGGAGGGATCTCCACCTTTGCAGGCAGAGCTGAAGTATGAAAGGCTAAGGGACGGTCCAGGGGACAGTTCAAAGGTGTGATTTAGCTTACACAAGCTCACATGAAAGTGCTAAGCTGAGAAAGCAACGAAATCCCAGCAGCCTGGGGCACGGGGAGGGGAGTTACTCACCACCAGCAGCTTCCTAGGCTGCAGTCAGTTCCTCCTAATGTTAGCTGGTTTTAAAGTATTTTCTCTATTTCTGGAGAAAAGCCCCTTTTTACACTCCTTTGGGTCATTAAGCAAACGTGATCTCTGCACCCTCCTTGCAGTTCCAGGGCATGAAGAGGAGCGTGGGCTTCCCTATTTTCTGTATTAGTTGTAACCCAGTGGCCCAGCCTTGGTGTCTCTTGGGGTCAGTAGTGATTTTGCATTAGGTGAAGACTTCACTTAATGAAATAATTAAATCTCAGTGGATTTGCAATGGTAAGGGAGAGAGATTTTACCCATTGCTGCAGAATATATAGGGATCCGTGGGGGTAGTTCAGAAAATATGGGTACTAAATTTGTTGTGTGGGCTGGTAATTTAGTCATCTCTCTTCTGCTCGTGGCTAGGAACTGCAAAAGAGGGGGGGTGAAGCCAAGAGAAACCATCATCTTCCCACATGCATTAGGGAATGGTGAAAGCCTTGACCTTCAAAGCAAGGCTGGCCTCAGCCAAGCACATTCCAGAAGTTTGTTAAAATAGCTAATGAATGGAAAAATGGAAAAATCCTATACAGTCTTCTTAAAAGCAGTTGTTGTATTGTTCCCGGATTCTGGCTTTACAGTGCTGAACACAATTCCAGTGGAGGGCTTTCTATGCTTGGAATAGAAAATAGAGAGGTCTGAAAGAAAGAATTCATGTAGTTAGTCCTTGATGAAAATACCCTCCTGCTAAAGAGAGCAGCGAGTCTGGGAAGCATGAGAGGGGACGGAGGAGGCTGTAGATTGACACAGAGGAGGGGATTTTATTACCCAGACATCAATCTGTCCTGATAAATGTGGTACCTCCACCATTACATGCCAGGTGTCACCTGGCACAGAAGGCAGTGCCTTCCTCTGCAGTTTTCCTTCTGGGGTATGTGGATATTTGTTGTGGGGTGCCCTGCTGCCCATTATTCCATTTGTGATGCTCACAGAGGGCGTGGAAATGATCTCCTCTTCCCTTCCCTCTTGTCCTTTACAGTTGCTGAAGCTGGCAAAGACTCTGGCCCTGCCAATTGTGTGGCCTAAAAGCAGAGCCAGCACAGGAAGGTGAATGGCAAAGCATAACCCTCTTGTCTGCAGGTTTCCTGTTGGCTACTTGCAGGGGAGGAGGTTTTTTTTAATTTCCATTTGGTGAAGGGAAAATCACAGCTGTGCTTGTCATGCCCTTCTGGTTGGGTTTGTCATGCAAAGGAAGCACAGCCAAAAGACTGCACATTCCCAATCAAAACTAATTGGGATGAAGAGCCTTTGTAGTGCAATTAGAAAGGGAGAAAGGGCTGGAGGAAGTGGATATGGCAATTTTGCAACACTCTTTATTAGCTAAGTACCACTCAGAGAATTTGGTGAAAGGTGCTTTCTAAGTAAAATTTGTTGTGCTATAATTGATTTCTGTCATAAAGGGGAAGCTGGGATTTTCAGGATGAGCTTTAGCTTTGTATGTCGAGATTACGATGCCAGATGAGCAGCTAACAAAACTCGGTTTATGTTAATGCCAACCACATGGAGCTGCTTCTACAGGGAGTCAGAATAATACAATTTGTACAGAAAACAGAGATGCCGCACATCAAAGAAACCACTTTATTTACCAGCTAATCAATAAAGAATGCCTGCTGCATTGCTTCTCTTCAAAGCCAAAGTCCAGGGATATGACAGAGTAGAAAATGTAAAACACAGCGAGGGGAAAAAAAAATCCCCCCCACAGCGGTGAGCACTTAAAATGCAGAGCTCTCCTCGGAGCTGGGGGACGTTTCTCTTCATGGGACAATCAAAACACTCATTAAACACCGATGCTCTTTGTATTGATCACAGATTCACTGCAGTTTGAATGCACTGCCTGCAGCTTGGCCCAAAAAATACACATGGCCAGTGCGTGACAAGGAGGAGGCCGGGTAGCCCGAGGTTTGTTCCTGTTCCATCCACCAGGACAGCACTAACCCTGGGGAAATCTGAACAAAGACAGCTAGGAAAGCATCAGGAGGGTATGCAGCCACTAGAGCAGGGAACCTTGGCTGGGCTCTATCTCTGCCAAACTTTGAAACAAACGTTGAATCTGCAATTCTTTGTGTTCCATCCTTTTTAAATCACTCTTTCAGTATTTCAGTTTACCAAGTAGCTTCATTTGTCCTCGGGTCAGTTTACCTGCTCATAGCTTTGGTTTCCTACAGCCTGCAACGATCTGTGTTGTATATACTGCAGTAATATTTTGAAATACTGTGGAACAGTCAGAAACAGAGTCTACAGTGTATTCTTGGGAGTGGGTGAGACTGTGAGTGTACTGAGAACCTGCAATATTACAGCACAGTCGGATGCCCCAGCCAAGATTAAGGCACTGTGAAAGCGAGTCCCTGACACAGATTTTTTTCCAGTCTAAATAGATGGAAGAAAAGGAAGACCATTACTATCATTTTACTGCTGGGAGCTGAGGGGCAGGGATATTAAAGTCATACCAAAAATCTGTGGCCCAACTAAGAGCAGAAGCAAAACCTGGGAGTCATAGTCTGGTGCTTTAAACCATCCTGTTTCTATAAGTCACACTTAACGAGGAGATGTTTAAGGGGAAATAAGTGCAGATCACCATTTTACATTGATCATCCTGTTTCCATTGCATTCCATTGGCATTTGGATTTCATGATGAGCTCCATTTCCTTCAGTGAGGGAAATAACCTCTTCTCTATACAGTGAAGAACAAGTAACATCAAAAAGTGTTTTTACAAGGAACGTACTGTACAAGATTAAAGGAAGCCAGCGAGGGAAACAGTTTGTTATATTTTCATTTCTGAAAGCCACTAATCCTCTGGGTACTGATATTGGAGACCAGTTCCTGGAAGTTTTCTCTCCTGCAGACTCAGAATAGATATGAGTTATTATTTTTAAGCTTCTGAGCATTGAACTATTCACCTCTATTGTTTATCTGACATGACAAATGCTGCCGACTTAAGGAACCTTTGTCTTCAAACCCACAACTGCAGATTTCTCCATTTTGCACTGTTTTCAAGTGAATGCAATTACTTAGCAAGTGTTCAGCAGCAGGAGAAACACATCCACAAGGCTCCTAAATGATGTTTCATTAATTTTAGGCACGGACCCAGAAGAAACCATTCTGAATGCTTTTAAGATTTTCGACCCAGAAGGAAAAGGCCGCATAAAGGCAGACTAGTAAGTTTATTTCAGATCCTTTAAAAGAATAACAACAACCCCAATAATTGCACCATTTTAAAGAGCTGCTTAAAAGCTGTATTTTTCACGGTGCTTTAAGAGACAGAGGAACTGTCAGGCAAAGGAACATTTAGCTTTGTAAGCCGGAGTTAAAAGACTGGACTATTGTATGAATGTGTTTGTGTACCAAAAAGAGATGTTATTGTCTTCAGACACTGCAAGAGGCAACGGAAATATAATCACATGTAGGCCATTAGATAGCCTTTTTTTGAAGGTCTGGGTATAAATCAACACATGACTCTTTGCAGATCAACTCCATATGTAAAATTAAAACCAATGTCTGGTGTCTAACTCTCAGAATGCTTGACTGAAATGGGAAAGCTACTCCCCCCTTAAAAAAGTGATCAATTTAATTAACTCTGTGACATGGTTTTAGTGCAGGACATTTTCCTTTTTATGCATTTATGGTTTGAGCCTCCAGACAATAACTTGCAGTAAAATTCCACTGGATGTGGTGGGAGCCAACCCTAATAATACTATTAATAATCTGGCAATTATTGTCAGTACAGCTATTTTTTAAAATAAGGAGGCAAGGCCTAATTTGTATTCCCAACCTGTTGCCCCACCAAAGCAATGTAAAAGGACTTTCAGTGCTAATTGCACAAATGTGAACCCTCATTGCACTGCCAGAACAGGCCTTCAGGTAAGTGAGATAAATGATATCAAACCAGGGCAGTGGATGGGGAGGTCTGACCTATGGCTCCAGAGGGATGCTTTATGTTCCTGGATTTATGCATAGGCTTAACTTTTGTGGTGAATTGGGGTCTATACTTCTGTTGCAGCAGCCATTGCAGGTAGATTTTATAAAGCATGATATGTACAGGATATTTATTGGGAACCATGAGTTACAAAACTGTATTTGCCTCAATTAATTCTGAAAATGTGATAACCTCTGAGTGGGATCTCATGGAGGTTTCCACGATCTTATCTGCAGTTATTGAGGTCTCCTGAAAGTTGAAAATATAAAATTCACATATGCAACATTTCTTTCCTTTACCAATGGGCTGTTCTGGGACAGTCCCCAGTGGGTGTGAGAGTCACACTCTGGTGTTCAACGTGCAAAATAAAAGCCAGGAGACAGTGTTTTCACTAAGAACTTCCAAGTTAATGAAAACACAAGTGGATGTAGCAATCAGCAGGAACAGAGGGTTAACAGCTGTCCTGATGGCTTTGGGGTTAACATTATCCCAGCAGCTTGGGAAGAACAGTCAGAGGATCGTATCAAAAGTGACTCAAACAACCAGAATAAACGCAGCCTGTTGCCAGATAGTGCAGATCACAGGGCAGTGAAATCACAGCCGTGAAATACGAACTTCTGATACTACAAACCCCATGAAATGTTGTATTTCCCACCACTATCTGTAACAATACCCTGCATACAAAATCTGCAGCTTGCCACCCTGTGTCCAGCTCTACATTCCTTGGATGCTGGAAGCCAGCTGGAGTTTGGGGCAAATCAGGAATGCAGCATCCCACTCCAACATGAAGATGAGAGAGAAATACTTTTATTTTTCCTTGATGGAAAAGGTCAACCTTGTCCCCACCCCCACTGCACTGCTAACATTAGACAATTGTTTTAGTTCATCACCACAACAGAGCATAATGTTTACTTATTAGACCCGAGGGTAATGTTGATCATTACAGAACAAACCATTAAATCAATTCCGTGAATGTCTTTGAGGTTTAACTTCTATTCATACGCTTCCAAAATTTAGACATTTGAAGGTTTTGAAATAATTTTTCTGTTGGCTCACGCAGCCATTTCAATATGACTGCTAATGTTAATAAATAATATTTCTCCATATTAAAAAAAATCCTGGAATGTTTCTCTCCCAAACCAGCCACGCTGACCTTTTAATCAGAATTTCTTTTTATATTCATGGAGTTAACATCCTTCTGGGGGTTTTTATGTATCTTCCCTCGGCATGTTTTCACCTCCAGTCTGGAAATGACTCACTTAGTCCAACTGATGGTAGCTGGGATGGAGCCTTCTAACCTTTCCAGAAGCTCCAGGAGTTTATAACTTACTTCCAAATTCAATGACGACTTTGTTTGTCTGCATCATTATCCCCCACATAAAACCCTTCCTAGAGCATGATGTCAAAAAGAGCAAATGCTTTCGCTCACATGCTCAGCTGGTGGAACTGGCACAGTGCTTGGAAAGGTTGGATGATTCAGTCCCAAATGCCATTCATGGGACAGAGTGAGTCAGGCCAACACCAGCTCTGCCCAGCGCTGATGCCAACAGAGCTGTTCACATTTAGACCAGGTGAAAATGGACCCAGGGAGATGAAAGAGGACCTTTGGGGGTCCCTGGGGCTGAGCCAGTGACGGCTCTTATGGTAGCTCTGCTCCTTTTAACTCACCTGTTTTTCTCCAAGACACCCCTGTAGAAAGGGCAAATCCAGTGGAAAACCAAAATGTCCTGGAGATTTCACAGATGATTTTTAAAAAGGTGCCGAAAAGATCAGAATGCAACAAGGTATTTGTAACTGTGGAAGGACCTGAGGTCAGCCAGGACAAGAGACAGCATTTAGACTCCTGCCTCAAGGCACATGAATGTTCTTTTTTGCCCAGAAGACTTTGGGTTTGGTTTGGATTTTCGAGAAGCAAATATAGTCTTTATAAAGAGAGCAAGATACGCAAAGAAAAAAATTCCATAATTTCTGGCTTTGGAAATTGTGAGTGTTTGTTTCCCTATAAAATAAATAATGGAAAATGTGCATAGATCCTTTACTCAGTCCTTCCTCCTTCTGAGTGTGCCAGAGCCTACTGGGCTGTGCATCAGAAGATCATAATTAGATATTTGATCTTTTCCCTTAAATACTTTAAGCATGTGAATGGAAGACACACAGTGCCCAGATCTCTTTTTAATTCAGGCCTGTTTGTGACGAAGTTTATTTGTGACTTGTGACAAAATTGCTGTAAGTGCTTCCCTGTGTTCCCCAAGCTCCTTCCCAGATCACACTTCCCATTTCCATTTGCTGATGCTGTTTGCCCCCTGCACAGATATCCAGCAACCGATTTCTGCTGAGGAGAGTGAGGCCTCTGCTCTTGCACCCAATGATCAGCTGAGAATTTGACGTCAAAAACGCAGTCACACCCCAAATAATACAGGGAATAAAACACAAACAGCAATTTGAGACAAAGGGATGAAGAAACTTTGCTAACTAAAGAGAAGGGTGAAGTAATGCAGGAAAAATATAAACAATAGCTTAGGCTTTGCCTGTGACTTCAGAGTATTTCCCAAAACTTGCACGGATATTTTCACACTTGCCCTTGTGGGTAAGATCCTTATTCATCCCCCAGAAACTTTTTTTTTTTTTTTTTTTTTTTTTTTTTTTTTTTTTTTTTTTTCAGTTTTCCCTTTCTTGGCTTCCAACTGAGCACTTCCTATCAACAAGAAGGAAAAAAATATGAGTCAGAGCTCTGAGGAAGTGCTGTTGTAGCTTTGCCATCCAAACCAGTTTTATCTGGGTGACTTTTCCCACTTGAGATGCACAGTGTATGGGAGCAGAAAGGGGAGATTCACTATTTTACCTCAACATCTGCATCCACAGGAGGTGAATTTTGCTCATCTGGAAGGGTTCCTACTCAGGCACGATTTCTATTACAAATAGTTAGTTTAGAATATTCCCTTTAAAAAGGAGGAATAAATATTCCCTTTAGAAAGCAGAAAGGGCTGCTTTCAGAAGAGCTGTTGCTCTCACTCTCCCACAACAAATTCTTCAAAAAAGAAACCCTTTTTTTTTTTTTTTTTGCAAATCTACAAACCAAACCAGATTTCTATATTTGCTTCAGCTTTTGTTTTTATACAACAGACTGCTCAGCTGTTATCACAGCTTCAGAGTTTGCTGTACTGATCTAGAAAAACTTCTGATGGTGTATAAATACCTTTGGTAGCAACAAAAGGAGACAACTCTGCCTCTTCAGCGTGAATGCAAACTGTGAGATTAAAAAAGGAATTCTTTCACAGGAAGGGGAAATTCCTGGTGCAAGTGAAAGGATGTTTTGTGTGATGTAACCAGGTTCATAGTGGTGGATGTTGGAGCACATGGTGCATGTGCTGCCCTCAGCACATGAGTAACTGGGTGAGATATAAAGACAGTTTATCTCAGGGGGTTAGACTGGAAACAGAAATCATCTTTCTGGCTTTTCTGTTCACCTGTAAACTTAGGTAAAAAAAAATTACATGCTCCACTGCCTTCCCACAATGGGTGCAAAACAGAGGGTAAATCAGCTGATTGTCAGCCCCAGAACTATTCTCTTTGAGGTAATTGCATGGGATGCAGATTGTGTGTGGGATAAGCTCCTTGTTACAGTGCTGTAACTCCAGCTCAAGACACTGCACCACGAAATACAACAGGTCTCATGCAGTCCCACAGGCTCCTCTGGGAATGACTGCATGCAAATAAAGGGATTCTCAGATGATGATTTAGAATAGCTGCTGGAGTTCTCTTTCAAGTCCTCTTTCTCATTTCATGCTCTGTTCCTTTCATCCTCGGATTTTACAGAAAATATTCTCTCTTTTGGTTTTGTTAAGTGATCCAAACTTTAAACAGCAAGTGAGAAAACCTACCACTTTCGGTTAAGATAAGCATACAAAATTGCTGTATTTCAATTAGAGTAATAACCTTAAACAATTTTAAAACCTCCATAAAATGTCACAAAAGCGAAGTAAGTTGGCAGAGCGAGGCATCGACACTGATGGGTGCCCACGGAAAATCTCTTACAATATCATGTAAGGATTAACGGCTCTAATTTATGCGGTCACACAGATTTCCTTTCATGCAGCTTCAGGAAGGATCTTGCCATCTGAATTGTCATGTGCCATTATCACCCTTTAATCAGGTTATTTCATTTCATTTGAACAGCATCAAAGAAATGCTGATGACACAGGCAGACCGGTTCAGTCAAGAGGAGGTAAGGAACTGCTTTATTCAAAACTGAAATCTCTCTCCAGCTCCTGTTCAGCACTGAGTCTTTGACCCTCTTTAAATGCATGAATTCAGCTGAAATCCAGACTGAGAGAAGGTTGATGCCAGCTCTAGCAATTAGTAACAATTCAAAGCCTCCCTTCTGAAGAGCTCCAGAGCTGAATCAAAGTCAAACAGATTCCTTGGCCTCCCATCCACGATAAGCGTGGCCCATCTCTTGCTGTTCTTTCCTGTGGTGAGCTGGGCAAGGCATTTACTGCAGCCCAAGTGACTTTGGGTGGGGACTTGGGATCTGGTTTCCATTTCTGTGAGTTATTTTGTTTGAAATCTGAAATGAGTTCTGAAACGAGGTACTGACTTTGTGGTTTGTGAGAGACTGAACACAGGTCCTGCTGGCTGGGGGAATTCAGAAGGACTTTATTTTCAGAAGAGGAGATTGAGTGGAGTTGGTTTGTGGCAAGAACAGACTGGACAGTCTGTTCCAGTCAGAACAGCAAACTGGACTGGTTTTGACCAGGGCTTACCTGAATTTCAGGGAGAGCTCTTTTCAACGGGGATCTTGTTGGGATTCCAGCAGGACTTTATTAATTGGTTGTGCTCTAACTCCTATTTCAATTTTACTGAAGCTAAGGAAAAACCTTCCTACCTGATCCAGTGGTTAATGGATCAGGCCAGCAGGGAGCTGACCTGGGTTGAAAATGAAAAGCTGAACATGCTGCTGTCCCACAGCCCCATCTTTGTAACACTTATCTCCTCTTTGCTTGGCAGATCAACCAGATGTTTGCTGCCTTCCCTCCAGATGTCTCTGGTAACCTTGACTATAAGAACCTCTGTTATGTTATCACCCATGGTGAGGAGAAGGACTAAGAGCAGAGAGATGAGCTTCTCCTGTGGTGCTCACCAAGTTATTTCATAATGCCTTTGTGTGCAAGACAAAGGGCTAAACATCCAGTATGTGAAGCCATGTGGTCATCAGAAGAGAACCAATAAAACAACTGAAATTAGATTAAAGTTATTTAATGCTCCTGGTTTTATGAAATATCAAAACACCGATTTTGTGAGGGTTTTTTTTCCCCCATCCTTTTTATTCTCCCTGTCAGTGGTTTGAAATGGAATTTTCTTGATGAACTGGTGCTTTTGTGATTTATTGACAAACCTAATGTTCACCAGATGGTCCACTGGGCACTGCAGTGTTGCTTAACCTCTTGTCTTTTATACATAAGCTCCACGTATTAATTGAGAAATCCTCCAACTTATTGCACCAGGAAGAATATCTGGCAAATAGAATTATGTTCCATTTCACAGCCCCTAGCAATGAAAGTGTAAATAAAACAATCTTAAGCTCTTGTGAATATGCAATATGCCCTCTCCATCTCAGTGATGTGGTCAGTTTTATAAAACCACTTCACTCATTTGCTTTTGTGAGAGAGAACAGAAATAGTGAATTATTGGCTATTTTGCTCATAGTAAAAATTTACCTGGGTGCACTTAGAAACCAGGAATAATGAATTTCCCCCTTCAGAGGCACCTCTGAAATAACAATAACACCTGGTTTCTCAGCCCTTGGCCATTACCCCTGTGTTACAGGTGAGGAACACACTGCAAGGATGTTTTTAACCCAAGATCAGCAAGTCGAGGGCCAAAGAGAGGGATTTAGGAACTGTGGCCCAGGGTGGCACATGAAAGCAAACCACCTCTCACTTTATTACTCCAAGATCAGCCCAGCTTCTAAAATGGGCTACAGTTTCTTGTATTTAGACTTCTAGGAATTGGGGATATTCTGCCTGTGTGGAATATTGCATGAACACTTCCTGCGTGGGAGTCAGGAGGATGCTGCAGCCAAAGGAAAACAAACTGCTGCTGTTTTAACAGCTCATGAAAATGCTTTCCTTGTGCATCAGTGCTGCTGGCACCACAGGCACTGAGAGGAAGCAACAGGCCACTTATTTTCTGTTTCCATCTCGGCCTTTGCAGCAGGAGAACTTGAGGGCAACGTGTCAACTTCTGCCCTCACCAGGAGGGATAGAAACTCCATGAAAAAGCTTTAACATCTGCATGACTCAGGGATGTGACCTTCACCCCTACCTGCATTTACTGTTGTGCCAGCAACCCCCTGCATTCAGTGCACTTCAGCAATACAGAACAACTGCAATGAGAGGGCTTTTAGCAGGCAGAAAGCTCATAAAATAAATCTCACCCAAAGTGCAGAGGCCCTGGGCATGTTCCTGCACCAGCAACGCTTTTCTCATAGAACAAGTTGATCCTCAATTATATCTGCTTGTAATTATCTCTCTTAAAAATATCAGTGGACACAGCTAGAAGCAAAACTCAGCCTTTTCTGGCATGAGTCTTGCTGGAGATGTGGAGAGGGCTTTAGCACTTCTTGCCACATGTTCCTGAAACATCCGAAGAAAGGAATGGTCATACAGACCTGTCCCTCCCAACACCATGTGCAGCTTGACTGGGCTTTGCAGACTCACAAAACTTCATACCATGCAAGAGTCCCCATGACCTCTTCTCCCACCCCAAGGCTCAGGAGCTGAGCTTTCCTCTACAAGCCCAGTTCTTATTCCTGTTTCACACAACGCCTCTTTTCTCCCCAGAATGTTTTTATTCCCAGCTCCATGGCCACTGCTGGTGGGATGGGGTTGTAGATCAGCAGCTGCAGGTCATGGAGGTAGAAGATTTTGGGTGGCACAGTAGAAAAGAGGATTTCTGAGCTTCTGCTTTGGGCTCTCATGCAGACCCAAACAAGTGACAGCTCTTCTCAGCAAAGAAGAGCTGGTGGGAGAGGGCTGCAAGGTGGATGTTTCTTTTACAGACTCCATGTGGAAATTTCTTGAGAGGTGGGTCTGGAAAATGCTCTTCTATGGCACAAACATGTGTGCAAAGTCCAGTGCTACCCTGTATGAGCTCCACACAATCCATTCCCAGCCAAATGAGTACTGACTGTTCCACTAATACGAGCTGAAGTCTCTCAGGCATCAGATGTCAGGCAGTGCTTCTGGTTTTTGCACTGTTTGAAGATTTCAGAATGAGACTGAAGACTAGATGAGATGGCACACAGGCTTACCTTTGGCCTTTAATCTGGAGAGATGTACTTTTCCTCATGCGAGCTGGTAGGCAAAAACTTTGAGGATAATGCTCTTGAAAGATGAGGTCACATTTTTCCATCAAAGCATGCACAGGTTTTGATGGGTCCTTTTCCATCTGTAACTGTTACATGACTTCTTCCAGTGCAGCTCTGTGACATCTCAGGCTGGTGGGAGCCTGGTCTGAGCAGTTCCAAACTCTCCCCCTCCCCTGGCTGCACCCACTCCCTCCCCCTGGTCAGACTGGAGCTCATACACACACAGCAGGTGCTGACCGAGAAGAAACCTCATTGCTCTCTAAATTTCCTTTCTGGGCTCTTGGGCCTGATCAGAATCTTTGGTTTGCCTCGTTTGGACACTGGTGAGGTCACTCTCCTGGTGCCCACATTTCCATGCCCTGCTGCAGGCACCTGCAGATGGGGCAGGGGAGTGGAGCTGTGGGCAGGATGGACAATAGGACCACCTCAGTGTAGGTTGGGTCAAGCCAGGCTTCATCACAGTGAGGAGTTTGTTTTGGAGCACTGCAATTTTGAACAACCTTGCCTTGAACAACCTGGGTAGCTTTTTTGGAGGAAGCTCAACCAGAGGCTCTGCTTGAAATTCAACCCAAATTCCCTCCAGTTCCTGATGGGGACCAGACCAGAGTGTAACTGTGGTGCCCCTCCAGCAGCCACCAAACACTGATGCACCTCAGAGTGTTCTCAACCACCCAGAGCTCTCAGACACTCTGAAGTGGCTCCTGGGCTATCCAAAGCCCCATAGGTTCCATCTCACTCTACCTGCCTTCAGGCTTTTTGCACTTCTGCTCCTTTCCTGTTGCTGCACTTTTACCTTTGTTCAAAATCCATGTCTTCCCCTTTTTTCTGCCTGTTGCCCCAGAATTTTGGCACTTGCAGGGCAGTGCAGCTGAGGTGCCTGTTACAGACTGCTGGAAGAGATCTCTGGGTTGGGCTGCACCACCAAGCTTGTGCTCATTTCGATTTCTGCACCTTGAACCATCATGCAAGAGAGTTTGAAGCTGCAACACTCCCATTCTATAAGGGGAACATCTTAACGTGCTCATATAAGTATAATGAAAATATTAAAGATTCTTACAACAAACCTCTATCAATCCCAATTTCATTTCAATCTCCATTTTCATTTGGGGACATAGGGCTGTGCTCGTGGGGTTTGGGTGCAGATTCAAATGAGGGAAGGGAACAAAGAGCTGAGATTAACTGCACAAAACAGATTCTCACCAAGCATCATTAAAATGATCAGATGGAGATTGAACTTGCATGAACCCTGACAAGTTGCTCTTCAGTGTCAGCCCTTTCACAAACAATTCCTACTTGGATGGGAAGAAAACCCAAAGAAACAGCGTAGAATTGATAATGTGTTTTATTAACTCTTAAATGTTTAAATCTGTAAACCTTCCTGAAACCTCGTGAAAGGGCAGAGCAGCCTTTGAAATCCACTGTCATTAAAGGCAGGGAAAGGTTCTCATGAGTGCCCCCAGCTTGTTGTTCTGCTTAGAGGCAGGATTGTTGTTAGAAGTGTTTGTCTGACCTATCTAAACTTTCTAGGTAGCCTCAAGTCCAAAGCTAGCTTTAGATTTATGCTTTTTCTCCCCCTCCCATCCAACCTAAATCTTTCTGTCTGCAAATTAAGCCAATTTCATCCTTTGCATCCTCTTTGTAATGACGTGAGTGCAGTGGAAGCCTGGTTTGTTTTCTTTTTTCAGCATTCTTTTTCCAACTTTTCCTCTCAGTGACCTTTTCTCCTCTACTAATTCTTCTTGCTCTCTTTAGGATTACCTTAAACTTGTGCATATTTTGATTTTAAACATGCTATGCCAACTTGGACACAGAATCCCAGCACCAGCAAGAATGGAATGATTATTTCAGAGGTTGGTTGTCTGTAAAACAACCAAACAAACCAATCCCCCCTGTGGTTCAGCAGCACTGAATGTGTATTTGTAGGCAATGTGGGTAAAAGTTTATTCCAGACCTCTCTTCCTTAATAACTACTCGCTTCTGATCCCCCTGTAACTTCTTCTGCCTGTCCCAGAAACTTCCTCAGATCTGATTCCCTCTGCCTCTGCTGCCTTGGTAATGTGCCAGCCCAGGTTATCTAAGGACATACCTTGAACTTTCACTGATGTGAACAAGGTGTAGATGGTCTGGAGTGCCTGTTTTCTATTCAAAAACAATGCCAGAACTGTGTAACATTTTCATTAATGACCTGGGTGATGGACTGAGGACAACAAATCCATGCTCTTCCCAGCGGTGTCCATTGACAGGACTGAAGTACAGGAAGGTCCATTTACCCCTTTTTGGCTGTGATGGTGGTCAAATATCAGAACAGGGTGGCCAAATGGGTTGTGGAGTCTCCATTGCTGGAGATATCCCACACCCCGCTGGATGTGGCCCTGGGAAACTCGCTGTAGCCCACGCTGCTCTGAGCAGGAGGTTTGGTCTAGACTGTCTCCTGTGGTGCCTTCCCACTTCAAAACCCCTGTGGTGCTGTGATGTTACACATGTCAGAGCTGTTAGCACAGCCCTGGTGACACTGGCCTTTTAGTGGGTTGCCATATGATCAATCTGTGCTGCCCTTTGAACCTCAGATCCTCTCCTGAGGAGCTATAGCCTGACCAATTACTCTCTGAATTTTACTGGAGTCTTTCTTCTGACATGTAACTGATCTTTAATTCCTTCTTGTTGACTTTGTATCTCCCCTTCAATTTAGGGCTGTTTGGAATTCTATCCCTGTCCTTCAAACTCCACACAAGTTGCCTCAGCTTACTGCCCACAACCTACAGATTTTGTGTGTTCTATGTTTTGTCCTGCAAATTGTTAATATTGAACAGCATCTCACCCTAGGACGGTCTCATCCTCCTCCTTTTCCTTCTCCCTTGTCACCCTTGAAAGGTCTCCTGATTGGATCAGTGATAACTGATGTTGGACATGTTTTTAACTGCACTCCAGAGCACTGATCTTCAACCTGCCCGTAGGAAACAGCACAGAGAAAGTGTCTCACGCATGGGACTTGCTTCATTTCCCCATCACTCAGTTTAAACTCAGGTGGTCACCAGCAAAACATTGCCCATGAGCCAAGGCAGCCACATCTAAGTCATCCTGATAATCTGAGGAGAATGGATTTCCCACTAGGAATGGGGCAAACCACCTTCAACAAAGCTGGTTTCTATGCAGGAGCAAATCCACTTGGATT